CATTCCGGTGTCCCCCCATTCCGGTGTCCCCCCATTCCGGTGTCCCCCCATTCCGGTGTCCTCCCATTCCGGTGTCCCCCCATTCCGGTGTCCTCCCATTCCGGTGTCCACGCGCTCACAAGGTCTCAATAAGATCTGTTTTTGTTATGGTCCCTTCTCTCTCTTTTTCAATGGCTTCGAGCTTGGCTTCGAGGACTTTGATCCTTTGGTTCTTCTCGCCCACAACATCTTCATATCCCCGGGTCTCACCTGCGGCGGACTGGAGGGCTTCGATCTGCAAGCGAGTGTTCTCCAGTTGCTCTTTGAGCATTTTTACTTCTCCCGTATCGTTCCCTATACCTTCCTCCAACCTGCACATGAAACACGTTGACCAAGAGCCATAGGAAAGGGCGATAGGAGCTGACATACTCTCTTAGCCGGGCTTCCTTAGCGCGGTATTGGCGCTGCAGCTCGTCGTTTTCTGTTTGCACCTCCACCAGCATAGCTTCACATTGGTCCAGATTTTTCCTCAAGCCTCTAACCAAGAAAGACAACCATAATACAACGACGGGTGGGTATACGACGGGTGGGAATACGACAGGTGGATATACGACAGGTGGGTATACGACAGGTGGGTATACGACAGGTGGGTATACGACAGGTGGGTATACGACAGGTGGGTATACGACAGGTGGGTATCCGACAGGTGGGCATACCACAGGTGGGTATACGACGGGTGGGTATACGACAGGTGGGTATACGACAGGTGGGCATACGACAGGTGGGTAGGGCAACGCACGCAATCACTTCATCACTCGTGATATTCTTCTGTTTGAGATCTTCATTTTGCTTCGTCAGTTCTTTGAGATGTTCCTGCAGCTCGTTGACGAGGAGGTTACGGCCGTCGTCGTCGTCGAAGTCTTCTTCAAATTGGTCACCGTACATAAATTTGGAATGTTTCCCAGCGGCTTTCCGCCCGCGTCTGGCATGGCCCCGGCAGTGATCTGGTCGAACACGCAAGGATTGAGCGAGGGTCACAGGATCTTCGTCGCCCCCGACGGCGGCGTCTACTATCCCAGCCACCCTGTACCGCACAGCTACATCCGCTTCAACCGCCCGCCCGGTCGAGAATACTCCGCTGGTCCCTTCCCCAGCCAGGGTCCCTTCCCCAGCCAGGGTCCCTTCCCTAACCAGGGTTCCTTCCCTGGCCCCGCCTGTGGTATGTGCTTCTCCGGTCACTTCCCCGGACCATCCTCAGGCCACTTCCCCGCGCCCGGCCAGAACGACGGTAACGCGTACCTAGTCGTGTACCCGCAGCAGCCGAGCCGCCATGGCTGCCGTCGCAGATCCGAGACCCGCCCCTTCGCGCCTCAGGGCTACTGGGTCTCCGCGCCCGATTACAGCCAGGATGGAAGTCGCGGTTACAGCCGCGCCTATAGTGCCGACCCCAACTGGCGGTCGGCCAGCCATCATCCGTTCGGGCAGACCGCAACACCACACCCGTGTCGCTGCGGGGCTTATTGCCGAGCACCCGCCCCTGACACCGTCCCCTCGGACCAGCCCGTCCCCTCGGACCAGCCCGTCCCCTCGGACAAGCCCGTCCCCTCGGGCAAGACCGTCGTCCCACCCAGCACGTTGCCCACCGCCGTTACGGACGAGGGCACAATGGACTGTGTAGACGACCTTCCTGCCACCCGACTTCCCGCCGAACGACTTCCCGCCCCCCCGCCTCCAACCAAACCGGCGACGACCAAAACGGTGACCAAGACGGGGGCGACGACTCAACAGAAGACGGTCCTTACTGGCGGGGCTGCGGTCGAGACGATAGCGCGCTCCGTTTCAGTTGATAGCGCCGTGTTGCGTGTGGCCAATAAGACCGCACCAGGCAAGGAGGCACTGGCGCCACTGGTCGTTGCAGATTGCCTCCCGGAAAGGCGGAAGCTGCTCGAGGTCCAGAGTGCACGTAGCCGGAAGATGTCACTGGTTGTTGACTGCACGCCCCGCAGCACTGGCTCACGGAGCACCCCCGCCGTTCAGGACGACCTGGCCGAACGCGCCGTCTCACCCACCCTCTCCTGCCTACCCTCCTTCACTGGCGACGACCAGGCTCCATTACGTCCAGACAACACTAGGTTGGACACCAGGTCGGCCATGCGACCGCAGGCGTGTGTGGGGGAGGCGTGTGAGGAGACTCTGAGCGACAGTGGCACGGATAGCGATGTCTGCGATGGTGATCCTGTTGAGCCGAACCACGAAGAGCCGAACCACGAAGAGCCGAACCACAAGAGCCGAACCACAAAGAGCCGAACCACGAAGAGCCGAACCACAAAGAGCCGGTCCGATTCGGGAGTAGGATGGTGCCTCGTTTGGAGGTTCCGCGTTCGGGCGTTCCGCCTTTAGATATGTCAAAGGTCATGCCCCGGCAAACCTCTTCCGCGGACTGCACTAGCCGAGCCGTTCACGTGTGTCGAGATGCGTGTCCGGACGAGATTGAGTCGGTGCTGGCTACTGCGCGCAAGTCCGTGGCGCAGACGGTGCGTCAGTTGGAGAAGGTGGAGGCCGGCGACCCCATAGCCGACGGCCAGACCGTCTTTGAAACCTGGAGCAGACCGGCTATTTTAACTGAGCGCGTTGTCTTCCGTCCGGATTGCGCCCGGTTACCTGAGCATGCTATAGCACTCCGCGTTGTAACAGCAATATTGGATGCGAGCCGGAGCGCAGTAGACCCACAGCATCACGAGGAAGCCCATGAGGAATCGGCTAACGGTCCGTCCGGTAGTGGACCGTCCTGTGGTGCACCGCTCTCTACGGAACCACAGGCCCCAACGGCGGAACCACAGGCCCCAACGGCGGAACTACAGGCCCCAACGGCGGAACCACAGGCCCCAACGGCGGAACCACAGGCCCCAACGGCGGAACCACAGGCCCAGACGAC